GTAGTCGGCATCATCAGTGAGCTTTGCCATTCTCCGCGCCAAGATACGAACTCGTCAAAGAGACAAGTGACGTCAATCCTTCGATTGGATTGGTCAAATCTTTCCAGCAAAGTACATATGGGGGATCCTTTGTGAACTACCGCCTAACCATCCATCCACAAGCCGACAAGATTATGGAAACACGAAATGTAACAGCCTATTTCGTTAATGTTTGGTAGTTGCATTTTCACACAATCATCGGTTTACATTGAATTTCACATCCAGGCCAGAGCGGACTAGAGTTTCGACCTCAAAAATCTAATTCCTGCAAAAATGACGTTGTCCTGTAGAAATGGGACTGTCTATTTGGGCCGGTGGAGAAGATGATTCAAAGTCAGAACTGAGTGTCCAACGGGCAACATTTTGATCAAAATTTCCCCACAAACCTGAATGTATATATAAGCTCGTCTGTAGGCACTAATTAACAGAAGCAGCATGTCCCATGCACCGTGAACGGTTTTCACTGTTCAGTTAACCATGACACTATTTATCGAGCCGTTAAGGCTTCCACTTGGCTTCTCCGTTCACTCAAGCGTTCACAATTCGCTTCATACACGCTGGGCTCGTTTACATGCAGGCCAGTGAAGTGTAGTTGCATACGCGATATGGTAAACACTTCATGCCGTCCCGCTCCTGCTAACCCATGCACGCACGCTCTCGACGCGTAGACGCAGAGCTCGGTTGACAGACTAATTTCCTCCGTCCCGGCCGTTTGGTATGTCCCCTTTTCACGTTAATAGACTTGTTTTGATTACGCACCAATTCGGGCTGGTCGTAGCAGCAGACTCTTCCTCCTCGAGGCATCATCCTGTTGAGGGGGCGTCGGGATGATGCGCACCGCCTTGAGTTGCGTGGACACCCGACATGTGGCCTGACCTGTAGCCCTGACTCAGTCTTCTTCATGGGTCGGAGGGCTCGTGTCTGTCGGATCGGCCAGCCGAGGCCAGTCGCGTGAATGTGGTACCGTTAAACCGTCTCTCCCTTCGAGGGGGGCTCTTTCTTGAGGCGGCAAGGCATGATCTGGCCTTGATGGCCTTTTCGACGGGCCTAAAATGTCGACATGACAACCCTTGCGAAGACTCGGCCAGGGTTGAAGGTCAACATTGACCGATTGGTCATTGCGTCGAAAGGGAGAGTGAAAAGAAGGCCTGATCTGATCTGACAAGTTCGTTCGCTGCCAGACGAAGATCGCTTTCTCGCAAAGTTTAGACCTCTCTCCGGTCAAATCACAACCTACGTCCAGGCTC